CCGCCGAAGGCGGCGCCGAACCCCCTCGCGCGGGGGGCCAACCTCCCCGCAAAGGGCCCCTTGGTCCTGGGGGCCCTCTTTTACCAGGGCGCCAATTTGGGGGTGGGAGGCCTTTTCTACCCGGGCACTGGGGGGGGGGGAAAACGCCTTCCCCCCCCTTCCACCCCCCCCCCCCCAAGGGCAGCCCGCTTCCGCCGCCAGGTTATGGGACCGCCACCCCCCCCCCCCCCCTCCCCCCTCCGCAGCTCCTCCAACTCCTCTACCGTGCCGCCATCTGGCTGCTCGACGCGGCGGTCCGCGAGCCGACCCGCGCCCTCGGCGCCGCACTCGTCCTCGTCGGGGCGGAGCTGCTGCGGTGGGAACCTTCTAGGAACCTTCTAGGAACCTTCTCCTAGGCGCCGCACTCGTCCTCGTCGGGGCGGAGCTGCTGCGGTGTGGGAACCTTCTAGGAACCTTCTAGGAACCTTCTCCTAGGCGCCGCACTCGTCCTCGTCGGGGCGGAGCTGCTGCGGCGCGCCGTGCTCCGGAGGCGCCCTCAGGGGGCCGGTGAGTCGTGACCTCTCCTCGCTTCTTGGCAGGCGCGCCCTGCTCTGGAGGGGCGCGTGCCGCCGCCGCGCGCACGCGCAGCAGGAGCAGCGCGTGGGCAAGGCCCGGGTGGCTCGTCCTGGACACATGTCCGTGACTCGTCCCTGCCGTGTGCAGGAGGCGCGCGTGGACGAGGCGGCCTGCTGGATCGTCCGCCACTTGCGCAGCCACGACGGGCGGTGGCGCGCCTCGTCGGGGTCGTCTCGCCTCCGGCTGCAGACGCCCAAGCACTCTTTGGCGCGAGGCTGTTTTGACTTTGAGTAGGTCGGGCCGTGGCCTCTCGCTGCAGGCGCTGCGCGGCCTCGTCCCCGACGGCGCGCTTGCCTCGGACGCGCTGTGGGCGCGTGTCGCGGAGCGCGTCGAGAGCGACCCGTGCGTCCGCCGCGTCGGAAGCAGAGACGGGGTGCTGCATTACGTGCCGGCCCCGCGCTGAGGGGGGAAGGGGGGGGGGGGAGACCTGGGAGTTCGTGCGGGCGACGCCGAGAGGGGCGGGGGGGTGGTAGGCGCGGAGGGGCACTACACAGGAGCGCACGCATAGGAGATGCGGCACCGGGCACAGAGACATTACTGCGGTGGGGAGAGGGGGCTACTCCAGGCAAGCGAAGGGTGCAGGGAGGGGGGGGTTGAGGCTTGAGCAATTGGTGAGAGATCCTGCCCAACAATTGGTGAGATCGAGAGCTACGACGCGTACGAATTATTCGATTAGAGAGAGAGAAGAATCAAGTTCAAGAATCATAATCAAAACACTTCGCCAGAGAGCGCGCTCGCACACAATAAATCATACGCGACACACCACCGAGACTCTCCGAGACCGGTGACCGCGAGCGGGGCTTGCGCTCAACCTTGAGCTTGCCCCATCCCGCATGCCCCCGCGGCCCCGCTCATTGCGGCTTTGTCGTGCTCGTGCGGGTCGTGGGCGTGCGAGCGGCAGCCCGGGAGCTTGCGTGCGACACACGCGCACCCGCACGCACAGATATCTCACCCACGAGACAGATCGCGCTCACAACCTCACAACGACACCCCGAAAACGTGAACAGTACTGACGTAGAGAGACGTATAGAGCTGATAGTTCTGGAGCGTGCGTCACAGATGATAGTCCCACTCTCAACCCCCACCCGCTGGTTCAAAGACAAAGCTCTGTCCATTCACCTGCCACGCTCGCTGTCGCCCCTCGCTGGCGCGCACCAGCCGCAAAATCTCCTCCCCGTAATTTTCCGCCTTCTTCGGCCCGACCCCCTTCACGTCCAGCAGCTCGTCCATGCTGGACGGCCTCGCCACCGCGATCCCCCGCATCACCGCCTCGGTCAGGATCATGAAGGGGCGCCGCCTCCGCCCCGCGCGCGCCACCTGCCCCCGCCACGCGCGCAGCTCGTCGTACAGCGCGCGCTCCTCGCCGTCGAGGTCGCCGCCCGGCGGACCCCTGTCCCCAGCAGCACCGCCGCCGCGAGCCAGCATCTCGAGGATGGACGCGCCTCCGCCGTCAGGCGCGCGCGGCTCGGCCGCCCCGTCTGCGCCCAGCGCCGTGCCGGCGGCCCGCGGGACGATGAGGTTGCGCTCGTTGTGCGCGAGCTGTTTGGCGCGCCGGCGGTTCGTCTCGGCGATGGCCTGCTCCATCGCCTCGGAGGAGCGTCCCGACTCGGAGTAGAGGAGCGCGACGCCGTTGACGTGCCGTGCGGCGCGGCCGATCGTCTGGATGAGCGAGGTGGTGCTCCGCAGCAGCCCCTGCTTGTCCGCGTTGAGGACGCACACCAGCGACACCTCGGGCAGGTCGAGCCCCTCGCGCAGCAGGTTGCACCCCACCTGCGCGTCAGGGCCGGGTCAATCGGCGCAAGTCTCCCCCCCCCTCTCCCCTGCCCCCTCGCGCAGCTTGGCTGCAGCCGCGCCACAGCACGTCGAGCTCGCGCTCCGGAGCCATCTCGGGTGATCTCGGGTGATCTCGGGTGATCTCGGCTGATCTCGGCTGATCTCGGCTGATCTCGGCTGATCTCGGGTGATCTCGGCTGATCTCGGGCGATCTCGCCAGCACGTCGAGCTCGCCGCTCCGGAGCTGGGCCAGGAGGCGCAGCCGCTCGAGCGGCTTGACGCCCGAGTGCAGGGCGATGGAGGAGACGCCGTGCCCGCTGAGAAAGTCGGAGAGCGCCTCGGCAGACGCCTTGGTGATGCAGGTGACGAGGGTGCGCTCGCGCCGCGCCACCCGCGCCTCGATCTGCGCGAGGAGGTGGTCTTCGTAGCCGCCCAGTGGGGCTACGTCGACGACGGCCACGTGCGGATCGGGGATGCCGGTCGGTCGGACGACGAGCTCGGTGACGCGCGGCGAGGGGCCGCAGAGCAGGGCCATCTCGGCGCCCGGAGTGGCAGAGACGAGCACCGCCTGCGGAACCCGCTCCCACACCTCCTCGCCCGTGAGCGGCCGGTTGTCGAGCGCGCTCGGCAGTCGGAAGCCGCCCTCCACGAGCTTGAGCTTCCGCGAGTGGTCGCCTGCGTGCATCGCGCCGAGCTGCGGCACCTGCAGGGGCGGGGGGCGTCGCGCGGTGTCGGCCGGGGTGCGCCGCCGTGCCGAGCGGCGCGGCTGCGCTCGCGCGCCGTGATGTGGCTCTCGTCGGCGATGAAGAGCCAGTCGTCGGGCATGTAGTCGAGCAGCGTCGGCGGCGCCTCGCCCGGCCTGCGGCCGGTCAGGTGGCGCGAGTAGTTCTCCATGCCGCTGCAGTAGCCCTCCCGCGCAATGTCGGCGAGGTCCGACTCGGTGCGCAGCTGCAGCCGCTCCGCCTCCACCACCAGCCCCGAGGCCAGCAGGGAACGTACCGTCGAAGCGCACTCGGCCGCGATCTCGCGCAGCACGCGCTCCTTGTGCTCCTGAGGGCCGGGGCCGGAGGCAGGGGGGCGGGGCTCGAGGCGTCTCGGGCGGCCCGGCCGGCCCCCCCAGCTCCCGCCTCGCCTCCTGGCCAACTGTGTAGTGGTTGGCTGGGTACAGCACAACGTGGGCCGGGACCTCCCCGTCGCCGGCCGCCCCAGCGTCGCCCCTCTCCCCCGCCTCGCCCCCCGCCTCGCCCGCCGCGACGAGCAGCGCCTCGTGCGAGAGGAGCCGCTCTCGGAGCGCCGCCTTGACGCCGCCCGTGGCGAGCCCCCTCTCGGCGCACGCCTCCTTGAGCGCCGCCACCTTGAGCGCCCGGACTCTCGCCTCGGGCAGCGGCGGTGGCGGTGGCGGCGGCTCTGCGGCGGAGTCGGCTCGAGGCGGGTCCGCTCCCTCCTCGAGCACCGCCTGGATGAGCGCCTCAGCACCCGCCTCGGCGCCCGCCTCGGAGGGCGGCGGCAGGCTGCCCCCCGTCGCTGCGTCGCGGTACCTCAGCGCGCAAACCTCGAGCTCTGGCCCGCCCTCGCCGCCTCCGCCGCCGCCCTCGCCAACGCCGCCGATGCCCTCGCCGGCAGCCCCGTCGCTGCCGTCGGGCACGAGGCGCATGCTCACGTCGAGGACCCTGTCCTCGTGCACCAGGTGCACCGACAGCGTCACCCCCGCCCCCCCGCCTCCCACCCCGCCCGCCTCGCCGCCCGCCGTACCGCCCGCCGTACCGCCCGCCCCGCCCGGCCAGAGGAACTCGCCGCGGCCGAGCTGCCTGCCCGCCGCCCTCTCGTACCGCATCTCGCGGAGCGCCGCGAGCAGATCGGCCGCCCTCCAGCGCTGCCCGACCGAGAGCGCCGTGGCGCGGTCGAGGTACTCTGCGGGCATGCCGAGCCCGCTGCGTGTGCGCGGGAGGGGAGGGGGGGGAGGGGGGCGGCGTCGGCATCGGAGGGAGCACACGAGGGGAGCGAGGGGCACTCGCGCACTAGATGCAGCTGACGGTGGCGACGACGATGGTGTCCCTCCGCTCGAAGAGAGAGCGCGTCGCCTCGTGCCGCAGCGCGTCGATCTTGGGGTTGGTCTGCGACGCCTTCTCGACGTAGTTTTGCGAGACGGGTGCATAGCTCTCGGGGCGGTAAAAGTCAAAGTGCGAGAAGAAGATGGTGACGGCGTTGGTCGGGAAGAAGGAGCGCAGCTCCGTGTAGAGCTGCGCGGCGAGCACCTGGTGGGGCGGGTGGCGCAAGGGCGGGCAGGTGTCAAGCTGAAGGCGTGAAGACGAGGTGGGGCGGCGCGAGCACCTTGTTCGGCGCGACGATGAGAGTCGGCCGGTTGGTGCGCGCAATCAGGTTGGCAAGCACGAACGTCTTGCCGGTGCCGGTCGCGCCCTTGAGCACCACCCGCGGCACGCCCGACTGCACCTGCGGGGAGACATCCGAGAAGGCTCCCGCAAGGCTCCTGGAGGACCCCGCTCCTCGCCACGCCCGACACACGTCCGCCACGAGCGAGTCGATCGCCGACGGCTGGTCGCCCGACGGCCGGTAGGGGGCGCGCAGCTCGAAGGCGCCCGGCATCGCCACCGCGCTCGAAAACCTCGCCCGCCCCAGCCCGCCCACCAACACCTCCTCCTCCTCCGCCACCGCCGCCGCCGCCGCCTCGGGGCGCGCCCCCGCCGACAGAACCCCGGGCAGCAAGTCGCCCTCCTTCGCCGGCAGCTCGGCTGAGAGAGCGCCCTCCGAGCCCCATGCCTCGAGGGCGCCGTACAGCGCCGACGCCGCCGCCGTCGTCGCCTCCTCCGACGCGAGCGGCGCCTCGGGCGCCAGCAGCCCGCCGACCGCCTCGAGCACGTTGTCGACGGCTCGCTCCGCCGCGGGTCCACCGCGCTCGAGCCGCGAGAGCCACACGCCGCGCCGCGCCGCCCACCAGCGGCGCGCTTGCTCCTCCGACGCCCACGCCTCGACCTTCGAGCCCATCCGGCGCGACGACAGGGCCAGCGCCTGCACAGCGCTCCCGTAGCCGGCGAGCGAGTCGTGAAACCCGACGGCGACCGGCTCGGGCCGCGAGCGCAGCCGCGCAGACACGAGGCGCGGGTCGGCGGCACAGCCCTCCCCGAGGGCTGAGCGGAGCTCGTCGACGCTTGCGGCGCGCAAGGCAGAGGCGGAGCCAAACGAGGCGCGCAAGGCCGACTGCTCTGCGGCGGCGAGGCCGCACCCGTCGAGGACCGAGGCGAGCTCGGCCGAGGCGCGCAGCCTCCGGTGGGAGAGGAGCGCGTACGCGTGCGCCTCGTCGCGCTGCCGGCGAAGCAGCGTGAGGGTGGGGGAGCTACGCGGCAGCACGAGCGGCTCCGAGGCGCCGGGCAGGTAGATCTCCTCCTCCCGCTTAGCGAGCGCGAGCGCCGCGACGCCGCGCCGCACGCCGAGCTCGGAGAGGGCGTCGAGCGCCGAGGAGAGCTGCCTATGGTTTGATAACTGACGGCTCGTCGAGTCCGAGATCAGAGCTGGCGTCGAGCGCCGAGGACAACTGCCCTTTGCCGCCGTCGAGGAGGAGGACCCCGGCCGGCCGCCGGCCGGCCGAGGAGCCGAGGTGCTCACGCAGCGCCGCTGAGATGGCACCGGTGTCGTCCGCCGGCGTCACTCCTCGGATGGGGTAGCAGCAGTACTCATCGAGCGCCTATGGCGAGGGAGCGGCGACGCCTCTCCGCGGCCGTGGCACGTCGAGGCGGCGGCCGGTTGGTCGGTGGCGGCGGCGCCGTCATACCAAAGTGGAGCGAGGAGCAGGCTCCGACGGTGTGGGTGCCATACAGGTGGCTGATGTCCCACGTCTCGAGCCGCGCCGGCACCTCCTCCAGCCCGAGCAGGCTCGATAGCCCGCGCAGCCCGTCCACCTTCCAGACTGCCTGGCGGATGCCTTCGCTCATCGCCGCCCGGAGCTCCTCAGGCCTTGGGTTGCTGCGGACGGCGTCCAGCACCTCCGCGAGCACGGGCGCCGCCATCGCCGGCTGCTGACTGCTGGCGCCTTCCTGCAGCGTCGGGAGCTGCACCTGCAGCTGCGAAATCGGCTGCGCCAATCCGGTGCCGGTGGTGGCATACCAGGCGGATAGGACGAGTGCCTCGACGGCCCTGGACGTGTCACGGAGGTAGCGGGACTGCTTGCTGGCTGGGATAGGCCTCGTCCGCATCCGTATCCGTCGAGGTGGGACGCCGCAGGTGCTTCAGAGTTCACTGCCGAGACGACGCACCAGTCGGTTCCATTTGACCTCTCTAGCAGAGCACCACACAAGCCCACACAAACAAACGTACACTGCGTGCGAACTAAGGTCTACGCCCTTATGCGAACAGTGCGAGGAGAGCGTGTGGCCGAAAGAATTTGCACAGCTTTTTTCTTTCTTTCTTTCCAGCGCCCCATCGCACGTATTTTCTTCTCAATAACAACGGTTGTGAAGACCCGAGGGATGACTGCTGACAGTTTTTTACGTGAGCCGTGTTGAGGCCACCGACAAGAAATCACGACATCAATCTCTCTCTCTCTCTCCCCAACGACCCCGGGTAACGTATGGAGGGTGTCAGGGTATCAGGCATACCCCTGATACTCGTACGTTTGGAGGCCGGCCGTGTCGTGTGTGCTTCGTCATCATCGCCACAGTCTCACACACGCCCGCACTTTAGACCGCGCTGCGTCGTGCGTGCAACATGCACATGTACATGTTGTTGTTGTAGGGATGGAGAGGAAGCAAACAAGGGCACACAGGATGCCCGAATTTTCTCATCACGCACATCACGCACACCGTCCCCAACCACCCCGGCTCCTTCCTCGAGGCATCAGTGCTCAGACACACTTGACACTGTTCACACAGCCGGAGAGGGGGCCTCCCTCCCACCATCGTACACACCGGCTGCGCCTCCTATGATACACAATAGCGAGCGACGATGCACACTAGCTGCTCGCTCGCGTCTGCTGCGCCACCGGAGGGGAGCGTAGTCGTTCCCTAAACTCATCTCCCGACTACCCCTCCTTCTCCGCTCCCTCCTCCTCCTCCTCCTCCTCCGCCTCCTCCTCGTCGTCGTCGTCGTGATCGTAGTCCTCGTCCTCCTCGCCCTCCTCGCCCTCCTCCTCCCCAGACGCGCGCATGCCGCGCGCGAGCGCCTCGAGCTTCGCGCGCACCCCGTCTAGCAGCGCGCCTACGGGAAGACTCCGAGCTGGCTCCGAGCGACGCTCCCTCCACCTCCTCACCCCCCCGGCCGCGAGCAGAGCTGCCGATGACTCCCTCCTGCGCCTCGGCGTCGAGCGCCAGGTTGGTGAAGGCGGCCGAGTACTGCACCGGCAGCACCTCCGCGACCGCATAGTGCAGGCTCGGGTAGCGCGCGTCGAACCGCTCCTGCCTCGCGTGCCGCACGTGGCACCGCGCCGTCGGGAGCACGTACAGGTCGGCGCGGCCGTCCGGGTACCGAACCACGTTGTGGCACTCGCAAAGCCAGGCGACCTGGCGGCGGACAAGCGTGTGGAGCGGGGTGCATCTCTACTCTCCTCTCCCTCTCCCCGCCAGCAGGCTCAGCATGCTCACCTGGCCGGCGTGAGGCGCCTCGGGCGCAAACACAAACTTTGCGTCCGTCTCCATTGCGATCGCAATCAGGCGGCGATACCTCGGCTCGAAGAAGTGGAGGCCAACCGGACGCGCCAGCGTCATCGCGCCCCCCATGAAGAACACCGGATACTCTTTGATGCGCTCAGCCTCCCGCCTCCGGTACTGCGCCATCCAGCCGCCAGGGTCCTCTGCTCCGGCGAGCATCCACTCCCGCCGTTTCAGATGGCCGCACCAGCGGACAGCGCACGCGGCCTCCCAGACGTGCGGCAGGCTCGCGCAATCGTGGAAACGACGGCACACTCCACTGGCCGACAGAAACGCGAGCAGCCACTCCTCCGCGTTGCAGCCCTTCGCGAGTGCGAGCATCACCTCGCTGAGGACGTCATCGTCCTCCATGGCATTGGGCGCCGCCTCCTCCATCGAGCGGGGGGAAGCTTCCCTCTGAGCCGCTCGTGGATGGCCTCTCTTGGCACAGAGGGTACCCTCTGAGACGAGCAGATCTGGGCCCCCTTGCCTCAGACCCCCCCCCCCCTCTGATACAACCCCCTAGTGGTCTGAGCGGCCCCTTCTTGCTCTCTTCCCACCCCGCTGTCGTGACCGTCTCCACCCCACACCTCCATTTTGCCTTTAGATATGCTTCGATCATTAGTTCGTCCTAGGAGGCTTCTCGTCCGCCTAGGAGGCTTCTAAGAACTGGCCTCCAAGTGCTCCCCGCGAGCTGGGAATAGGACCGCCGCAAGCGGCGTGGCGTGGAGCGGTTGAGCGTCCCTCCGGGGGGCCCTCTGCGCCGGGGAGGCGTTGTTGGAGGCTAGGACGCAAGCGTGGGCCCGCGCCTTGCGCGCGGGCTTAACGGCGGAGCCGACGCTGGCTCGCTGGGGATGCTCAAGCCACGCGCCAAGGCAGAGCCACGCGCCACAAGGCTCTGCGGACGAGGCTTTGAGCCCATCTTTGTCTTCCGCAAAGAGGGCGCGTCGAGCAAGCAGGCCGACGAGGACGAGGCCTTCGACAAAGCGCTCGCGAGCTTACCGCTGCCTGGCCCACAAACGCCGTCGGCACGCGCCGAAAGGGTCGAAGAGGCGTCGCAGGAAGATGCCACTCCGCCCACAGTCAGCTTTGCGCACCCTGCTCCTGCCGATGACGGCATTAGCACAGTTGTGCCCTACTACAAGGCCTCCGAGCAGGTCCAGGTGTGATGTGCACATGTGGTGTGCGCATGTGGTTCAGGGAAGGCCAGTACGGCCCATACTACAGCTGCCCTGTATGCAGACTGACGCACGGCGCCCACAAATTCGACGGCCAATGCAACAGCCGGCAGAGCGTGCACGAGCGGGGCGAGCCGCTCGGCATTCCTTGTGACTCGGAGGTCAAAGGGCTACGACATGAGGCGCATGCGCTCAAGGATGCGCTCTGGACAACGCCAGAACAGCGAAGCCGTGTCTACAGGATGGCCGCTGCGTGCATGCACATGCCTCTGGAGGACAGGAGTGCCACGTCGCCAGGTTTGGCAAAGCGCGATGCAACGAGCTTTTGCAACACCTGCGAAATGGCCGTATATGGTAGTCGTTTACACGTGCAGGTGCCCAGGTGTTCTACCACGACGCGATCTTTGTCAAGCGCAAAACAACTTCAACCTGCTGCTCCACGAGACGTTCGGCGGCGGCTTCTCGCCCACCGCCGTTCTCAAGCTGCGCCGCCTCGCGCGCAAAGCCGCGCGCGGCAGCGTCGACCGCACGGCCTACTCGCCCAAGTACTCGCTTTCTTTTATGTCCCACCATGCAGAGCGCATCTCTCTCTCTGTTGTGCGAGGCGTGAACCGCGCCATTCGCTCTCACCTGGCAACCCTGTCTGCACGTCTCGCGCGCGCGTGAACAGGGCTCCAGGCCCCAAATGACGTGTGAGTGTTAGAGTTGTTTGGTATTATTAAAAATCTCTCTCTCAGGTGTCATCCTGGTGGTTTTATCAAAATTACACTGTAAAATAACGGGTGTGATAAATTATGCGTGTAAAGTAATACCCGGCATGCATGAAATTACAGGGGGGATACAACACTCAACAGCAGCGAGCAGGTGAGACTGATGATGCTCCTTCGACTTAGGGAGCAGTTCAGCTGCTGGGCGGGCTTCAGGGTGGTGCTCACGCGAAAAGGAATCGACGCGATGTACAAAGCATACAAGAAGAGGAGACAGAAGAGGAGAGGCGCCAGTGATGACGAAACAGAAACTACGCAGACGAGAGCAGGGCAGACCCGGGGACTGGGGAGCCGGAGAAGACGGCATCGGCCGCCGAGGGAACGTTGGGAAGAGGCACGAGGAGGGCGGCGACCTCATGAACCGACTATGGAGGACCCGTCGCCAGACGACGCAGGGCAGAAGACGGTGAGGCGGAGCAGACGCGCAGGGCGAGACGAGGGAGGGAGCAGGACTTTGCGGAGATCAGCAGGAGGATGTACGACGAGATTAGGAACAGCAGGGACCCGAGGGACCATGTGGAAGACGGCTAGTGCTAGTCCCCCATCGGGAGGACGACCCCGGCTAGTCGCCGACCACACCCACAAAGAACCCTGCACAAAGATCGCACGGGCGGGGACCTGTTCCTTTTTACCCATCTCACAGTAGAGGTGTACGGACTTCATGAACGGAATTCTGACAATTAACCAGTTGGTGAACTTCAGAACGATGGGCTTGCCCATCCCGGAGTGGTTCGATCCCACATACCGAGACGGTGACGGGAAGCGTCGCTGCGATCTCAGGCCCAGTGAGGCAGTGCGCCAGACTAACCCGGATCCTGCTGAACAAGTTCCTCTTGTAGCTCGATCGGTCACACCGCCATCGCCGCCGGGGAGAGGGGGGACGACACTGCTTCGGCAGCGTGCACCTCGATCCTGTACCGTGTTTGTTATGACCCCCCCCCATGAACACACCAGTGAGGGTGGGCGAGACGATCGAGGGGTCCCGTACCATGCGGAACCGACCCTATCCAGTGCTCAAGTGCTCAAGGTGTCCGTTTTATTTATTGCAGCGAGCAGGGCGCCTGGTCCCCCGCTCGGGCGCGCGCGCACGGGGGCGCGGCACGATGGCCACGGGGGCATGGTGCGGCACTCATTCTCTCCGTCTACTACACATATGGGGATGGGGCCAAAGCCGACGGACATGCATCGGGTACATGCGTGCGACAGAGACATGCACATGCAGTGTCATCTAGTTAGTGTCATGCATGAGTACTCGCGAGCGAGACGCTCAAGGAGGAGTATCGGGCCTTGCTGGGCAGTCGGACAGGCCCCAAGTCTCCAGCTAGTGAGAAAAGGTTACCCGAGGATGTACTCGAGTAGACAAGAAAAACGTTCCCAGCCGTTTGGACTGGTTGGCCCGTTTGCCGCGCCTAGCTCTCTTTCTCCGCGTTTCCTCACCCTCCACGACTCTCTCCCCCTCGCCCTCCACCTCACTTCCTCCCACCCCCTCACACGACGGCGCACCCCGACTAGGCTCTCCTGGCGTCGAGCGAGTAGGCGTGCCCTGAGGGCTAGGGCGAGTAAGGATAGGTGCGAGCGGGTGCACTAGTTCAGGCGTCGAGCTTCCATTGTCCACAGCCAGCCTGGA